CGTCGCCGACTCATCTGTCCGGGAGCCATGAATCTCTTGCCCAGCAGTCTACCACACACACACTGACCGGGAAGGGTTGGTGGTTCAGTGTTGCCGTCTACACGATCACTGCCCGAGCACGGCTTCGTTACCATGCCTCGTAAACATGCTCCGAGACTGATCGTGTGAACGTGCCCTAAGACGGGGGAAAATGGCTGTGAAGTTCTCCATATTAGTCCTTTATATCTTCAGTCCATATAGCACGCGGACTTCCATTTACAAACAATGCCTCACTAGTCTGGAATCGAACCCTGGACCTCTGCGTATGAACAGTGATCGCTACCACTGCGCCACAAGGACAACAAAAGCAATTCTAGGCTTTGTTTTATTCCACACAAATCCTGTTTATTCGTCTTTGTTAAGTAACGTGAACCTCCATTGGGGATTGCCCGTGTCAACGTTGTCCTTGTGGCACGGTGGTAGCGATCCCAGTTCACACGCAGAGGTCCAGGGTTCGATTCCCGACTAGTGAGGTATTGTTTGTATATGGAAGTCCGCGTGCTATACGGATTGATGAGATATATATATAGCCTCGTGTTTCCTAGCTGGATTCGGTAAAATGCTACTCAGACCACATAGTTGGCACGGACAATCACCAGTGGAGGTTCACGCTGCTTAACAAAAACAAATGAACTGGCTTTGTGTGGATTAAAACAAAGCCTAAATTGCGTAAGCTAAATAAAGATATTTGCAGATTAGTGATAACGTCTATGTATTTATCTTTTGGGGAAATTTGTTGTCAAGTTAGGTTGGGTAAGATAAGTCAGGTTAAGTTAGGCTAAGTTGGGCCCGGTTAAATTAGATTACTAAAGTCAGGTAATATTAAGTAAGGTTAACTAAGGTTAAACCAGGTGAGGTTAGTGTAGGATATGTCTCAAGGCAAGGAGGTTAAAAGTTCCTGGTTAATTAGTCTAAGAAGAAATTGCTGACAAAAAGCGACCAGCAGTTGCGAAAAGAAGTACTGTAATTATAGAAACAAAAACAATAATAATAAATAAGGTGGAAAGAAGACACGCGTTGGCAGAATATTAACCAAACACGTCCAGCCTGCAAAAACTTTCTCAGATATATTGCCACATAAGTTGGGAAGTGTCGAAAAAAAAAACACGAATTGCTCTAGTTAATGTTGGACGAGGATTTCCTTACTTCGTGTGTGTGTGTGTGTGTTTGTTTGTTTGTGCGTGCGTGAAGAATCGATCACGACCAACGTAAAATTGGAATGACTAATAACGGGTTAGGGAGGTGTTATGAAATAGGCTGCGATACACTGTCGAAATCTGATGTAGAAATGGGGAAGGTGAATGAGATAATTAGAAAACAAAAGGAATAACTCTATCATAGAATCAATGAGACACAAACTAAAAGGAGACAGGGGAAGGGAAAAGTAAGACGGGTGGAGAAGAATAAAATATATATAATACGGAGAGAGAATTTAAGATATGAATATATGTATATAATCCAGACATTTTTTGGATTACCTGAAGATTAACCAGCCTAACTTATTTCACCTGGTGATCAAATACGATTGGGTTGGTTCGCGTTACGGTGTTAAATCATCCAGTGAAATCTAGGGTGTTTAATCTTCACGTGATCCATTTTTTAGTCTAACCTTTTTGTGATCCAATTTTTCTATTTTCTACTGTGTTTGAGTCTCACATATAGCGTGACATTCTCACGTGAGACCAACACTGAACAGAACACGACTATACCATTGAGCAAGACTGGACTACCGTACTGCCACCGATTTGTCTGATATTTTATTGCACCAACCTTACTTTGTTTTATTGTTTACAGACATACTGTATATTAAGATGTTTGTTTTACCTCAAGTTACCAAACAGTATTTAGGACCTATTTTCTCTGATAAGAGACTTCAATGCCCGTGGACAGTACTTGCGCATTGACACTTAACAGGTTCCCCTGTTGTCATAATTAATAGTCATGATACTGTACTCAGATGGGATGTAACTACTATTTAAACGACGACTTGGCTGATCCACAATTATTAGTATAGTATTGTTATAATTATCCATCGCTCGGTACAACCCAATAGAGAAGATTTATCAGCGTATTAAATGGAGTGAAAAATCATAACGAACAGAGATAGTGAAACTAGAATTAAATATGAATACCAAACATTCCCCTACAGTAACAAGACTTACAAAAAGAGATATAGTTCATATTACTTATTCAGTAGTTAAAAAAATTTATTAAGAAAAATTAAAAATAAAGTGAGACAAAATTAACCTAACCTTAAGAACGCCAAGCTACCACACTCTAGGTCAAGGTAGGTATTGCACGATTTCACACAGTGCACTGATTGGTTAAAAAAGAGGAGGTGCGGCACTGATTGGTTAAAAAAGACGAGGTGCGGCACTGATTGGTTAAAAAGACGAGGTGCGGCACTGATTGGTTAAAAAAGACGAGGTGCGGCACTGATTGGTTAAAAAAGACGAGGTGAGGCACTGATTGGTTAAAAATAGGAGGTGCGGCACTGATTGGTTATGCGGCACTGATTGGTTAAAAGAGGAGGTGCAGCACGATTGGTTAAAAAAGAGGAGGTGCGGCACTGATTGGTTAAAAAAGACGGGTGTGGCACTGATTGGTTAAAAAGAGGTGCGGCACTGATTGGTTGAAAAGAGGAGGTGCGGCACTGAAAAGACGAGTGCGGCACTGATTGGTTAAAAAGAGGAGGTGCGGCACTGATTGGTTAAGAAAAGAGGTGCGGCACTGATTGGTTAAAAAAGACGAGGTGCGGCACTGATTGGTTAAAAAAGACGAGGTGCGGCACTGATTGGTTAAAAAAGAGGAGGTGCGGCACTGATTGGTTAAAAAAGACGAGGTGTGGCACTGATTGGTTAAGAAAGCGAGGTATGGGATTGATTGGTTAAAAAAGACGAAGTGCGGCACTGATTGGTTAAGAAAGCGAGGTACGGGATTGATTGGTTAAAAAAGCGAGGTACGGGACTGATTGGTTAAAAGACGGTACGGATTGACTACGGACTGATTGGTTAAAAAGACAAGGTACGCCACTGATTGGTTCACGGATAAAATGAGGTGCGGCTCTGATTATTCACGGATAAAAATAGTGCGGTCACTGTTGGTTCACAGGACAGACGAGTTCAGCTCTGATTGGTTCATGGACACAAGACGAGGTGCAGCACTGATTGGTTCACGGACATAAGATGAGGTGCGGCTCACAGTTGGTTCACAGAAACAAGATGTGCGGCACTGATTCACTGATTGGTTCACGGGCACGAGACGATGTGCGGCACGGATTGTTCTGAACAAGACGAGGTGCGGCATTGATTGGTTCACAGACATAAGACGAGGTGCGCATTGATTGGTTCACGGACATAAGATGAGGTGCGGCTCTGATTGGTTCTAGAAACAAGATGTGCGGCACTGATTCACGGATAGTTCACAGACATAAGACGAGGTGCACATTGCTAGACATAGACGAGTGCAGCATTGATTGGTTCACAGACATAAGACGAGGTGCGCATTGATTGGTTCACGGAGACGATGCGGCATTGATTGGTTCTGAACGAGACAGTGCGGCATTGATTGGTTCTGAACATAAGACTAGGTGCGCATTGATTGGTTCACAGACATAAGACGAGGTGCGGCATTGATTGGTTCTGAACATAAAGACGAGGTGCGGCATTGATTGGTTCACGGACACAAGACGAGGTGCGGCATTGATTGGTTCACAGACATAAAGACGAGGTGCGGCATTGATTGGTTCTGAGACATAAGACGAGTGCGGCATTGATTGGTTCACAGACATAAGACGAGGTGCGGCATTGATTGGTTCACGGACACAAGACGAGGTGCGGCTCTGATTGGTTCACGGACACAAGACGAGGTGCGGCATTGATTGGTTCACGGACACAAGACGAGGTGCGGCTCTGATTGGTTCACGGACATAAGCGAAATAGGTTTTTTCCCCATAGGTACACCCAGTTGACAGCAGAAAGTACTGTGTAACTATCAAGGTGAAAGTTCATTTTTATCCTTAGGTTACAGCGACATAGGAATAAGAGAGCACGGAGAGACAGGCAGACGGACGAACGAAACACATGGGAACGAATAATTCCATGACTATGAATGATAATAAAAAAAAAGGAAAAAACTCATTAATTAAAACGACGTCGGATTACATTTTCTTTGCATATAGTGTGGTGTGGGGTGGGGTGTGGGGTGGGGTGGGGGGGGGTCGTAGAATACATACAGTAAGGGAGAGCTGATCAGTATCAGTTTTGGCCTAAACTGTATAATAATTCATTAACTCTTTGTAATGTAGATCAAGAGGTCACGTTTGACTACAAAGCCTCAAAACATAATTCAGTGTAACCACTAACCCGCCCGCTGTTATGACATGGCTTCCGTACAGACTAATACTGTACAGTATATCTAAAACTTAAGAAAAGCAATGATCCAAGAGTAGTTGCACTTTATACACCCAAACACTCGTGGTTATAACAAGATAAACCTGATTTAGGTGTGAATGACAATGATTAGACTCAGTTATTCCCAATATCCTTTCACAGTTCACCAAGTTAATTTACACACACACACACACACACACACACACACACACACATATACATATATGTATATGTGTGTGTGTGTGTGTGTGTGTGTGTGTGTGTGTGTGTGTGTGTGTGTAAAAAAAATTGGTAAACAATTGAGCTTTCTCGACCCGTCTCGAAACTCCACCCAACTGCCCTTCCCACTAATACATAAAACTATACATTCAGGAAATACCGATACTCATAACAAGCTTATGAAATACTTATCACTACAGTTGGGTAAACTATGAAGAAACACACGGTAGAGCACTTATATTATGTTAAAAATAATAAACAAACACCTGTTTTGTGGCTACTGCGCGTCAGTTTACTGTTGGCTGTGCAACAGGGAGTTGAATCACGCCAATCACTAGACCAGAGTGAGGAGGTGAGGGAGGAGGGGCTCTCTACCTGTCACTCAACACAACCACGACACGAATCATTCTTGAAGCGGAAAAATACGGGAGGAAGGAATCATTGCTGCTAAAGCTGAAGTAAGCCTGGAATCAAGAGCTGAAGTGCTTAAGTAATCCACCAAACCCAGCCCCAGAGAGACCTGGCACGAAGGCAAATTCCTCGGAACTTAGGCTGTTAGAGTAATTGTAAGAAGAAAAGGCGGTGGTTCAGACAACCCTCGAACGGATCACAAGGCAATGGAGTGGACGGTGGTGTTGGTGTACTGCCTGCTGCTCACCCAAGTCCTCGTTGTTGATAGTAAGAATATGTTTCTGTTATAGGGAAAATGACTGCTCATACTCACAAGACCCAGCTACTAATATTTGGTAATGGTTAAGGGTTCAAGTTCTAAAAGATTGTATCGTGTGATGAAATTTTGGTCCACAGTGAGCCTTAACACGGCAGCGAGTTGCTGAAGTCTCACTCTGGTTTCTTCTTTATTTTGGCCGTCAACTTGTTCTGGAGCTTTATGGGTCATTTACAGTAAATGCGTTTTTGCATCTCTAATTACAGAAAAAAATGTTTATGGACTTAATTTTCAAATATCGACTTTTTTTAAATACTGGTATCTTCGTCCCATTGCCTACTTCACAATATTGGCCTCATGTTTTATATGTATATATGTTTTTCTCCTTGAATCTTGCCTGTTCCTCTCCTACCTGTTATTCTAAAGTACTGTAGTTATGTTCCCTCTCTCCCATTACACCTGGATCTCTGCTATTTTCTGATAATTTATTTATTTTTTTATATAATCCCACATCTTTTTACTCTTGTCATTGTTTTGTTTGATTTCATTTGTTTTTTCATACTTATATATTTTTCTTATCATAATTTCTTCTTTTTTCTTTCATTCGTTTAATATATTGGTCTTGTAGGTTCTTTCTTTCTTTTGTATTTCTTTCTATATCATATTTTTACATTGCTGTACGTCAGTGTAGGGTTTTTTCTGTTCCAGGGAGGCTCATCACACATGTTAGTTTCCTTCTGTATTTTGTCATCTGCCTCATCTTTCATTATTCTCTTAATTTGTTCCATATTTTGGGGTTCGTCTTCGTTTATTTATTTTTTATATTGAGAGATTCTTCATCTTAGTTGTAGTTCTCGCCTTTTGCCCAAAATTCCTTTTTAAAGTTGAATGTTTCGTCTACCTTTACTAAGCAATTTGTCACGAAAGTGGAATTTTTAGGGGTTGGCTCCAGTGATCCGCCCCCAGCCCCAAAGATGAAAACCCCTAACATTTATATTTCTGTGTCTTTGTTATATGCAGCCACGGTTTTTATGATAGATCTGAAGTTTCGTTGCTTGTGTAATTAGTTCCGAAAATTCTCGGATTTTTTTTAATTGAAAGGGGGATCTGCCTTGAAGCAACCAACCAACCAACCAACCAAAGAACGACCAAAGTGTTTAATTTAAAAGTATGAAATTTGGTACGGTTATCTTTTGTGGTCATTTTTACTTAAATTTCGCCAAGGATTTACAAAACCTATGTGACTGCACCAATTCTGGTTGACTTCGTTAAAAACAAACCCGAGCATCCCAGCCAGTTTGAGACAAACATTTTGATGATACCTCACAGTTGTATTATCAGTAGACATCCTTTTGCTATTTAGATTTTCCCGCGAGGGGGCTAGTTTATTGGGCACTCCCTTGCATCCTGTGCAAGGCGAAGCACAAAAGCGTTTACAGCGCCCAACAGGGAAGTATGTGGAGTTCATGCTTGCCTTCTTGACTCATGTATTTAAGGGCGTAAGTGCTTGAAGGACCATGGATTATGTAGGCGAGTTACATATGGTGACAGGATGAGCGTGTGGGGGAGAAAACCTGATACAATACATCTGTTTACCCCAAGATGTGGCAAGGGCCTAATAAGTCATGTGCCACCAGGCCTGTCTGTAGGAGGAGGGATATTTGGTCAGGAGGAAGGGGTGTTGGTGATGGCTGGGGACCTGTGCTGTGGTAGGTGGGGGTGGAGGGAGGCACATTGATATTGGCGATATTAAGGGACAAACCTTTTAGTGTGAGTGTGATAACCTGGGCGTGAGCATAACTCTACGTTTCAGAAGTTAAAGTTACAGCTGAAGGTCAAGTCAAAATCTTGTTTATTGCACAAATTTTGTTTTTGTATTTATACTGTACATGTTTTTTTGCTCATATTGTCCCTCCCTATTCTATTTTAACTTCGGCATTCTCGCTTCCTCTCTGTGTAATATTAAGCAACAAAAGTCTGCTTCATAATCTACGGTGTTATCCCGCCGTGTTTACCTTATGGTCCTAAAAAAAAAAATATATCTTTACGTGGGGCGTCGATGAATTTCAGAATGAACACTGCCACTTCTGTTGTCTCGGTAGTGTTGTCAAAATCCTTCGTCCGTTGCGTCATATTTTCTCAACCCAATTGTGTATGGAGGCGTCGTCTTTGGTCCTGCATGAGTTACAATGCTGGTGTGAACTATTGAGCCTTGTGTGTGTGTGGATATATTAAATGTTAAATGTTCACCCTCCTTGTATGTTCTGCCGGCGGTCGTGCTCACATGCCCTGCATGCCCAACCGGCAGTCGCGCTTACCTGCCCCGTATGCCCCGTCGGCAGTCGCGCTTACCTGCCCCGTATGCTCCGTCGGCGGTCGCGCTTACCTGTCCTGTATGCCTAGCCATCGGTTGCTCTTACCTGCCCTGTATGCCCCGCCGGTGGTGTGCCCACCTGTCATGTATGCCCCGCTGGCGGTCGCGCTCACCGGCCCTGTATGCCCCGCCGGAAATGTTTATCGGCCGGAGAATGTTTCCTTGCCAAAGAATGTTGTGGCAACACCAAGTGTGAGTTCCTTTAAGACTAGACTAGACTTTACCAACACTGGCACATCCTTAGATACATTCAAGAGCCCAGTACTGTACTTATAAACTGTGCTTAATAAAGAAATGACCGACCGACCGCTAAACTAACCAGGTGCGAAGAGGATAAGTAAGTACCTGTAACGTCTCATAATAGTATCAAGGCAAATTACCACAAGACTCATACACTTTAATAATACAAGCATGATACTTGTCTTACTTATAGAAGAGAACATATTTAGATTTGCTCTGGGAAGACATTTCACAAGAGGTCAAGAATAAGGAATGATCATAAAGTGTCAGTGGAATGCAATCTTCTGAACCTGTGGGTACTGTATAGATCACTAATAACGAGGCGCTTGACACTACACATTTATCTACTGTTTTATGCTGCAGCTATATATTGTTGTTCCCACCAAATTCACCTCAAAATGGTTCACGTGTTTGAAGGCTTTGTGTCTTCATATTAAAAAATTATCTTCAGGTTATTGATGTATCCTTGACATTGAATTATTTTTGTCTGTTATTTAGAAGACAGAATCATTCAGTGTACCCAAGGAATGTGTTGGTATGGCAACATTTATCAACAAACATTGAAGCAGACTTTAAACGAGAATTGTGATAATGTTGGAACTCCTGACCTCTGTTTAAATGAGATTTGTGCCAATGTTGGTAATTCTGACAACTTGAAACGAGGTTTGTGGTAAAGATACCTGTTTCTTTGTGATTTTGTTCCCACAAGAAAAGGAAACGTTGACTCAAACTTTTAAATTTTTCAATTTTTATTTTATGTTTTTCCATTACATGAAAATAAAATAATTTATTTATTTTTGAGATGATAATTTTACACTAGCGGGCGGGTGTCTAATAACATCCACAGGGACGAAAATCGTGTCTCCGCTCCGTGCATCGTGACTATCTGAGTGACCTTCGCGTTGATTAATATAATCTTTTTCTCTTCTATTTTAAATTTATCTTTACTCTTATTTTTTCTCCCCCCAGGCCCCGTTGTGGGTCGATGATCTGTGCCTGGGTGGGCTATTCCCCGTAAAAAAATAAAATCGATGATGCTGTATTGAGCTGTTCATTTCATTCTAGTAAGTACAATAGTATTTTTTTTTCAGGGGTTTCAACTATTAAGGCTGTATTGCCGTTTATAAGTCGCAACAAAAAGAACATTGGTAATGTTAGTATTATTAGTAATAACTTAAATATTAATTAAAAATAATATGAAGGAAACAAGTTTTTTGGCTTGATTGCCAAAAATATGAAAGAATTAATGACTCGGGGCTGGATAATTTCAACTTGATATAAATTATGATTTAAATCAATTTTTTTAATAAAATCAATTATATAAATTAATATATGCCCATGTTAGTATCAATAAATTATTTAATGCTAAACACGCCATTAATCAGTGTGATTTCATTATTGTGGATGAACATTCGGGTGTTGATGGAATAATACCAAGTAATCCATCTCTAATTTTCTATATTTTCCTATAGTTAATGGATAATGATAACTTCGTTCAGTTCAATACGATGTAATCCAATTATAAATGTTCTCATGTATTGTTACCCTGATTCACCCGTGTGGAGGGACTGGGGATAGTACACGACCATCCCTTATATTGTACTAGTCTCGGCCACCCGCACTTTTCTACCAAATTTCATCTCTCAAAGGGAGATACGCCTCCCTAGTTTGGGTGTACAGTATGTGGGAGTTCAGCGGGATGGGTCATACGTGCCTCCCTTTACTTACTGTTCCTGGCTCAGATAGAACGATACTCAACTCTTCGCTTATTAGGCGGGTCAAATTATAAAATTAAATCCCCTACTGGGTTTTGCAAATGACAGAAAAAAGTCTACCAAAATCTGACCACCGGAAGTGGGTTAAAACTGGGTCAGTTCCAAGATGGTCGCCGCTGACCCTGAAAATCTGGAAGGCGGCTGTAACTTCCTTATTATTAGGTGTTAAACAATACTTTTGTATCTAACCGAGGGTTTTAAGGGTCAGGGAATTCATTGGTGCCAATGGATTTGTGACTTGGTCCATCGAATTCGTAAATCCAAGATGGCGGCCAACACTCCAAACTATTTGATACAGGACAGTGGTTTTTGCTTCATTTTTCTTCTTCATTAGATATAGTTATTTTGACCTTCTTTCAGTGTTATTTTCTTTAGTATTGAAGGTTTTTATCTCTATTTCAATCTAAAACGAGTCAGTTGTGGCTGGGATATCAGCGGATGCTTCATACTGCACGAGCGCTGATCAAAGCAGATCGCACTGGGTCTTGGCTGAATCACTTGCGTGCTGTTTCAACGCCTTGCCAATATTTGCTGCAGCAGGACACTACAACTACCTGAAGTCTGCCTATCTCTACATCCAAGAAATGAGTGAACTGGAGAGCAAACACCCAGATGTCTACAG